GCTCAGGATCAGAATAAACAGGGAGCCAGCCAAAGGCTCCCGGTGCAGGTGGCATGGACATTTGCGGTTTGGATGTTAAGAAGGAGGCTTGGGGTTGAAGGCGTCCTAGGAGGGAAACACAGCAAGTGCAAAGGCTGCTAGGGCCAAGCACATTCTCTTTTGACTTAAACCAGCTTGGACTGACTAAAAAAAAAATTTTTTTTTTTTTTTTTCCTGACTTAGAACCTTTAGAATGCAGAGCCCTGTAGTGCGCCGGGAAGGGTGTAGTACTCAGCGCTGCCACAGGAGGGCCTGCCGGGATCCGGACGCTGTGCGGGGTGGGGGGGTGGGGGGTGGGGAGACCGGGGACATCGGAAATGAGGCTGTGACACGATGCTGGAGCGCTTGCTTTGAGGCCTGTTTTAAGTTCACATCAGCCCAGTGAGGTAGGCACTGTTATCATCCCCATGTCCCAAATTTGAAAACTGAGGCACAGAAAGGCTGAGTAACTTGCTCAAGGGTTGCTCAGCTCCAGGTGGTAGAACCAGAAAAGAACCACCAAGATAAGCCATTCAGAGGGAAGGCAGGGTGGCCCTGGGATCGTTGTGCTGAGGGTGGGGGGACCCCTTTCCCAGGGGCGGGAGCCCCCATCTCTAGCCCCTCCGCTAGATGTTTTCCCAGCTGTGGAGTTGGTGTCCCCTTAAATATTGAGATGAATCTCGCTTCCCCCAGGTCAGGTGAAATTGGCATCCCCCCCATCTCTCCCACTTCGGGGGTCAGGGAGGACATCCTGCGGTGGGGGAACCCACGTTTAATGGCAGATGGGAGGGATGAGTAGGAGTCAGGCAGTGGGAGAGGTGAGGAAGAGGGTTTCAGGGCACGTCATGGCCATGCCATATTTCCCTGGGATTCCTCCCGTGTCTGGAGTGAATATTTGCTCAAACTCCGCGAGGCAGGGCAGAGGGGGGAAAGACACTGTGTCTGGTCGCTTATGTGTGGAATCTAAAAAAACCAAACTCGGAGAAGCAGACACAAGAATGGTGGTGACCAGGGGCACCTGGCTGGCTTAGTCGGTTGAGCGTCTGACTCTTGATTTCGGCTCAGGTCATGATATCCTGATTCTGGGGTTCGAGCCCCGCATCAGGCTCTGTGCTCCCTCTCTCTCTCTCAAAATAAATAAACTTAAAAAAAAAAAAAAAAGAATAGTGATTACCAGGGGTTGTGGGGTGGGGGCGACGGGGAGATGTTGGTCAAAGGACACCAAATCCAGTTAGAGAGTCAGTTCTTTGGATCTAACGTTCGGCGTGGTGACTATAGTTAACAACGCGGTAGGTATTATATTCTTCAAAGAAATGCTAACCGCCTGCGGGTGCTAACGGGACTGTCGCGTATAAGTGCACCGGATGTGTACATCGTATGCCTTAAATTTACACGGTGTTGTACATCAATTATATTTCAATAAAACTGGGGAGAAAAGGTAAAACAAAGACCCAACCCACGCCCAGCAAATGCAACGCGGGCCTCCCACCCTCCCTCTCCCGGGCCCGGAGGGTTCCGCCCCGCCCCCCCCCCCCCCCGGGCCCCCCTCGGGCCCGGGGGACCAAAGGGTTCCCGTTTCCCCCCCCCCCCCCCCCCCCGCCGCCCCCAGCTTTGGGGCCTGCTGTTGGGAACATCACTCTTGATCTCAGAGGGATGGTCTGAGGGCTGGCCTCAGTTTCCCTTTTGCTGCTGGGCCAGACGAGCCTCAGCCGTCCCCCTCTGCCCCTCCCAGAGCACACGGCCAGCGGCTTTCCTCCAGCCCGGCACTTTGTGACATAGATTTCAAATATGGCGCTTTTCTTGTCCTGCCCCACCCCGACGCGTCCAGGTGAGCGGCTGGCCTCCAGCCTTTTGCTCTGTCAGCCACCATGGCCACCTCAGAGGTCTCGGGGGTGCCTGGCAGAGGATCAGTAAAATCCCCCCTCACCCTCAAGTGAGAAACCCCAGTGGGTTGTGACCTCCTAACATTTTGTCCGTGTGTATGTGACGGGGGTGGTGAGTGAGCAGGGGGCTCTCAGGCTGGGGATGTGGCTTCGGCAAAGCCCAAGTTGGCTTCTTGGGTTCTTCTTCTAGAACAAGCTGTCTCTTTGCATTGGGGATCATCTCCCATTCCCCGGGGGAAGTCATGCCCAGATGGAACGGCACCCCGCCTTCTCCAGGGCGGCTCAGGTCTGGCAGAGGGGGCCCGAGTGTCAACTGGGAGTCAGGAAGCCGCTGGGGAGAGCCAGGTGGGACGGGGGCACCTAGGATGGGTGGGGTCCAGCTGGAGAGAGAAGCAGATGTGGGGGAAGTCCCAGGGGGTGAGGCTTCTGCTCCAGAGGATGGGCCAAGGGGCGGCATCCAGGGGACACCAAGACCCCAAGGGACACCTGGTCCCTGGGCTTCTGCTGGGCCCCACCAGGGTTGCGTCCTGAGCCCTAGGGAGCAGAGAGACGTCTTCTAGAAAGCAAACGTGTTCTCTGGCCCTTAGACCCCGCGAATACTGGGATGCGTCAATGGGACTGTGGATCTGAAGAACAGAATGCTGATGATCCCCAGGAGGGTCTGAAGGTTAACGGGGGACTGGAGAAGGCCGGGCGCCTCCCGCCTCCTGCTGTGTGTCCCTGGCAAGTTGCTTGGCCTCTCTGAGCCTCGTTTCGTTTCGTGCATCTGTTGAGTGTGAATGCAAATACTGGTGCTCAATAGGTGCTTAGCTCCCGGCTGTTGGGCTGTTGGACGAGAGGCTGGGAGAGGTGTTGCAGGTGGAGTCTCGGCGGGCAGGGGAACAGCTCAAGACCAATTCTGTTGCTCTCTTCTTGGCCAGGACATGTAGCACACAGTAGGTGCCTCATAAAACCTTGCCGACCTGTTTGGGTCCAAGACTCCTGAATCTAAGGCTTCCTTTTCCCTTTTCTTTAAAAAAAAAATTTTTTTTAATGTTTATTTTTGAGACAGAGAGAGACAGAGCATGAACGGGGAGGGTCAGAGAGGGGGAGACGCAGAATCCGAAGCAGGTTCCAGGCTCTGAGCTGTCAGCACAGAGCCCGACGCAGGGCTCGAACGCCCGGACCGCGAGATCATGACCTGAGCCGACGTTGGAGGCTCAACCGACTGAGCCACCCAGGCTCCCCGCCTTTTCCCTTTTGACTTGTCTTCCAGCCTCACCTGCGCCTCCCTGGTGGGGCCACCGGGCAGGCAGGCACACTCAGTGCTGAAGTGTAGATTCTGAAGCCTGGGTTCAAGTCCTGACTTGGCACACAGTAGGTGCCACAGAACGACATTGCCATAACACTGATTCGTACTGTTAGCGTGGGTTTCAGGCTCCAGATTCTTCTGGGGGCTGCAGCAAGCAGACCTCTCCATGCCGATCAGCCCCTGCCCCATCCCAAAGTGTGGGGTCAAGGCAGAGGTTTCAGCCCGGGGCAGTTTGCCCCCCCCCCCCCCCCCCCCCCAAACTCCCCCAGGGGACATCTGGCAATGTCTGGAGACATTTTTGGTTGTCATGCCTGGGGGAGGTGATACAGGCATCTGGCGGGTAGAGGCTAAGGGGGTGCTAAGCGCCCTACAGTGCCCGGGACCTTGTCCATCACAGGCATGATCTGGCCCCAAGTACAAACAGTTTGGAGGTGGAGACTCTCTGGGTTAAGGAGCAGGTGCTCAGAGTTACACCCCCTACTGCCTGGCCCAGGGCGGGTGGCCTTTCCCTCTGAACGTGTGTCCCTGTCTGCAAAATGGGGGTGATTGTATCAGTTGCACAGGACTCTTGGGACGATTAAGTGCGTTAAGGATGTAAAGGGTTTAGGACATGACCTGGCTCACAGGATGTGCTGTCAGTGTGGACGAGTTACTATTGACGACTGGAGGACAATGACGGTGGGGGTCGCGTGTGTCTTCTGCCCCTCTGCCCTCTGATTTCTGAACTGGTTCCTGAAACAGCCAGCTCTTGTTTGCCCGGACCCCAGTGGCCCCGTAGCCAAGCAAGTTCACCCCTGAAGCCAGACCAGACAGCGTTCAGGTCACCACGGCTGGAAAAAACGTCCCCTAAGCCCGTCTGCTCAGGGAGGTGCGTGGAGCTGCGTCCCCCACGCTCAGGCATTGGAGAAACAGAATTTGACATAAATAACTCATCTTAACCTTTACTCCGAGCCTTCATTCAGCTATGGGTGGGGGAGGGCGAGGGAGAAACCATAATCGCAGTGGATTCAGGGTCCCCCATTCCCACCCAGGAGGTGAGCTGAGAGAAGGGTCAGGACGCAGGCAGTCTGCGTTAGAACCTGGCTTTACCGGGGCGCCTGGGGGGCTCAGTCGGTTGGGCGTCCGACTTTGGCTCCGGTCATGATCTCACGGTTCGTGAGTTCGAGTCCCATGTCGGGCTCTGTGCTGACAGCTTGGAGCCTGGAGCCTGCTTTGGATTCTGTGTCTCCCTCTCTCTCTCTGCACCCCCCCCCCACTCATGCTCTGTCTCTCTCTCTCTGTCTCAGAAATAAATAAACATTAAAAAAAATTAAAAAAAAAAAAAAGAACCTGGCTTTGCCATTTAAAGCTGTGTAGGACAATTACTTAACCTCTCCGAACACAGGGACAGTAATAGTGCTCACCTTATAAAGGGGTTGTTATGAGAATGAAATGGTCAATGTGTATAAAGCGCTTAGAACAGGGCTTGAACCCCTGTGAGCGCACTGGAAAGCGAGTCAATATGATGAGGACGACGACTCCAGCTTGGGGGATGACTGACTGATCCGGGGTCTCTCCCCCTTGGCACTACTCACACCGTGAGCTGCAGAGGCCTTGGTTGTAGGGGGCTGTCCTGTGCATTATAGGATGCTTAGCAGCGTCTCTGGCCTCTACCCACCAGATGCCAGCAGCACCCCCAATCCTGCCAATCAAAACCGTCTCCAGACATTGCCCAATGTCCCCTGGGGTGGGGGGCAGAATTGGTTGGGTGACAGCGGCTGGCCTGATCCTGGGTTGTCTTCTGTCCCTGCTGGCATCTGCTGGGATGAGCCGGGTCCTTCCTAGCCCACCACTGTTACCTGACTCGCAAAAGCCTTTTATTCCCCCCCGCCTTTTTTAAATTTTTATTTTTGCAGAGACCGTCTCTCTCTAAGACAGCAGAATTGAACTCCCTGTCCCAGGACCGCACAACTGCTAAGTGGTGACCCGTGATTCCAGTCCCCACCGGTCTGCCCTCCAGGTGTCGGGAATAATGCATGGGCGTGTCCATGCATTGTTGGAGCGTCGTGTCCACTAAAGGCTAATTCCCGTCATTGGTCTTTATAGTGTAACCACACTGTGGGCCGACAATGCCCGTGACGTCCCCACTGTGGCTCTGTTGATGGGCACAGTGGCTCCCGTCGTGGCTTGGGGGAAGGAGCAGGAGACACGACCCTGGGGGGGGGGGAGTTTGAGGTCTTCGGTGGAGGACCGGGGGTTTGGTCAGAGAGCAAGGAGCAGGGTGGTGGCAGTGAGGGTTGAGTTTCCCTTCCAGACCCTCGGGGACATTTCTGGTCTCTGAGGGTGGCATGCAAGGTCCTCAGGCCTGGCTTGTGTCCCCCGTGTCCCCTCCCTCCCTCCAGTCAAACTGACTCACTCCCTCTGCAGCCTGACTGCCCCCTGGCCCCTCTGGGCTCTCACAGTGGGCATTTAATTGGGGCCTTGGATGTTCAGGGCATGCTCTGTGGAACCCCGGCCAAACCGGGGATTAAGCAAAGCTAAATGGGGTTGTTCCTTGCAGGCCTTCCCAGAGGTTTTCATTTGCTCACGTGTTTTGCGCAGCTTTCTGGAATGCATCTGCCCCCTTGACGTGTCTTGCCCTCTGGAGCACTTTTTTGGGGTGCTAGGGGGTTCCTGGAACAGATAAAGGAAACACTGCCTTAACCCTAAGGGGAAACTTGAATGGTGCAATTTCAGGCTGAGGCTCCTGGCCAAGCCTCAAAGGTTTCCTCCTCCTCCTCTTCCCAGGACCATGGCTCTCTCTGGGGTGGCCCAGTGGGGTAGCAAACTCTGGGCAGCCAAATTAGGAGCTCAGGATGAGGCTGGATGGGGGTCAGCCCAGGCTGGCTGATGGGGGCTTGGGGGGGGGGGGCGGGTCCTTGGACTGGAAAACGTCCCCCCCCCCCCCCCCCGGGGGGGGGGGGGTTCTCGAGGAGGGGGCGTGTCTTCTGGGAAGGCTCGCGGAGTCCCCTGGGACGAAGCCCAGAGTTTAGCTCAGGGGAGAAACATCTGATCACCCCTGGGGCCCAAGTCCAGGGTCACAGTGAGAAGCTGAAGATTGGCCCCCTTCTTCCGAAACTAACATGTGCTCCTGGCCTGGCTTCCCCTCCGTCTAGCTGCCGGGCCTCTCCGCCCAGCCCCCTCCTGCCACAGCCCTGCCCCAGCGTGTCAGACCCGCCGATCTTTCCTCTTCCTCCTCCTCTGGCCACCCACTCCGGCCTCTCCCGCAGCCGAGGGCAGTCAGGCCGGCAAGAGGGAACGATGACAGATTCCTGCTCCGTTTCCAGTTGTGGTAAAATGGTAACATGAAATTTACCACCTTCACCCTTCTTTTCTTTAAAAAAAAAATGCTTACTTGTTTTTGAGGCAGAGAGAGAGGGAGAGAGAGGATCCCAAGCAGGCTCCATGCTGTCAGCACAGAGCCCGACGCGGGGCTCGATCCCATGAACCGTGAGATCAAGACCTGAGCCGGAATCAAGAGTCAGACGCTTAACGGACTGAGCCACGCAGGCTCCCCACATTTTAAAAAGTGTTTATTTATTTTTGAGAGGGAAAGAGAGAGGGAGGGAGGGGGCAGAGACAGAGGGAAAGAGAGAATCCGCCCTGACAGTGCAGAGCCCCACAAGGGGCTCGAACTCACGAACCATGAGATCATAGCCCGAGCCCCTATCAAGAGTCAGACGCTTAACTGACTGAGCGCCCCAGCGCCCCAGGTGCCCCACATTTTAACCGTTCCTAAGTGCGCAGCTCGGTGGCATTAAGCAATTCACAATGTCGTGCAGCTGTCCGCCCCATCCATCTCCAGAACTTTCTCATCTCCCCAAACTGAGACTCCGTGCCCCCGAAACGCTGACCCCCCGCCCCTGGTTCGCACTACTCTCTGTCTCTGTGGACGGGACCCCTCTGGGGACCTCACGTAAGGGAGGAATCGTGCAGTATCTGTCCTTTTATGTCTGGCTTCTCTTGCTTTACGTGTCTCCAAAGCTCAGCCACGTTGTAGCATGGATAAGCACGTGACAATTTTTTTTTTAATTTTTTTTTCAACGTTTTTTATTTATTTTTGGGACAGAGCGAGACAGAGCATGAACGGGGGAGGGGCAGAGAGAGAAGGAGACACAGAATCGGAAACAGGCTCCAGGCTCCGAGCCATCAGCCCAGAGCCCGATGCGGGGCTCGAACTCACGGACCGCGAGATCGTGACCTGGCTGAAGTCGGACGCCTAACCGACTGCGCCACCCAGGCGCCCCATCACGTGACAGTTTTTAAGGCTGGATAACGTCCCCTGGTATGGACGGACCGTGGATCCGTCGATGGACCTTTTGGCCAGTGTGAACGCTGCTGTCGTGAACTGCTGTGTACGAGTGTCTGTTCGGTCACCTGTCGTGTACAGAGATCCCTGCTTTCAACCCCTTTGGGTAGATGGATACCCAGCAGTGGAACTGCTGGGCCCGATGGTGGCTCCGGTGTGATTTTCTGAAGGGCTGCTGAACGGTTTTCCACAGCAGCTGCTCTAATTCACCGTCTCACCAGCCGAGCACGGGGCTCCGGTCTCTCCACATCTTGGCCAGCGCCTGGTTTGTTCCTTTTTTTTTTTTTTTTTTTAACATTAATGATCATGTTCCAGGAGAATTAAAGGCAGAATTCTTTTTTATTTATTTTAATCAATCAATCAATCAATCAATTAATTTAAAGTAAGCTCTATGCGGGGCTTGAACTCACAACCCTAAGATCGAGAGTTGCAAGCTTCACCAATGGAGCCAAATGGGTGCCCCTCTCTTTGCTTTTTTGTTTTTTAAGTTTATTTATTTATTTTGAGAGCGAGAGGAAGCATGAGTGGAGGAGGGACGGAGAGAGAGGGAGAGAGAGAGAACCCCAAGCAGGCTCCGCAGTGTCAGCGCAGAACCTGATGTGGGGCTCGAATCCATGAACTTCGAGACCACGTCCTGAACGCAAGTCGGACACTTGACCGACTGAGCCACCCAGGCGCCCCTGAAGTTTACATCTTTAATCCCACGGTAGGTTCTTGAGCAAGGGACATCCCGGGGAGGACTTGCCAGGCAGTACCTTGAGACCCCAGAGCACAGGCTACGCGGGAAACAGACTAGGGGTTCGTCCAGCCACAGGCACGGTGAGAGCCGGGACTGGATCCAGGTCATATTAGTAGAAATAGTTGGTGGAGATCCGAGGAGGTGAGTTCTAGAAAGAGACCTGGAGGTGGATGTGGTTCACACGTCGGCTGCCCGTGACGCCACAGAAGCGATAGCCCAGGAGGAGGATGAAAATCTGGGTAGGAGACAGAGCTGAGTCATCAGAGATGCAGGGGTAAACTGGTGATGTGACATAAGGACCCAAGCGACAGCTGTTGGGTCTCAAGCAGCGAAGAGTG